CACACAGACAACCTCTCGTCAATATGCGTTTTTTGCATTGCATTACTGCAAAAAACGCATAATTACCATCGACAACCCGCACGCGTCCGTCACGAGACGTAGGGGGAAAATGAAAGTTGCATTCACGTAAAGCTGCCCAAATACAGTAGACTGGGCCGTGCTTAAAAAAGCACTCTTCCTTTCCTCTCTACAGTATGCGTTTTTTGCAGCTATGCAATGCAGAAAACGCATATCGACGAGAGGTTGCCTGTGTGTCCGCGTGTCTGTGTGTGTCTGTACCGATTTTTCATTTCAAGACCTACAAAATCTACAGGGCTGAAACTCCGAAAACTTAATCTACATGCACGTACGGGTCCCAATCCTCAAAATGGGCACCCTTATCTGCGTGGCACCCAAGTACGAGCCCGCCAAAGTTTTTTACGGGTAAGCTGCTAACTCGGGAACCAGAAAAGCTGGGGGGCTGAAATTTTACGGGGACGTTCCCCGTTAAAGTAGGTATTAATGAGTTCAAACCTAGCCCCGGGTAAGAGCAGTACCCACGTACAGGCCCACCAAAATTCTTTTCGGGCAAGTCGCTAAGTCGGGAATCTGAGAAGCTAGAAAACTGGAATTATGAAGGGATGTTTCCTGACAGCCCTGGCAGCTAGTGTGAAATCCTTTTAGCTAGAAGCATCTGCCAGAAAAACCAGTGCCATCAGCGACAAAAATCTGCGGGGAGCTATGCAAAAAACGCATCTTCGCACGAGCAGCCCGTGCGTTGGCCAACTATTTGCATTGCACAGATGCAAAAAAACCCATACAAATGGGCTTACTTGAAGGTTCTACCATAAAAAAAAAGAAAAAAAAAACAGCTGTGAATTTTTCTATAACTTCGCCAAAGAGAACAACAATAAAAACTCTGAAGGAAAAAAAAAAGTACTTCGCAATGAAAACAGCACTCTTCTGCGTGGTGAACAACTGAAAATGTGTTTCATATTCGCCGTGCTCTTCCGCCTTTACACGAATCCGTGAAACACTGAACTTGTAGAAATCAGAATGAAAATTGGCCTCTGTTCCAAGCGACGGTGCTCGCGAATACTTGCAAATTAACAGAGTGTCTGAGAACTGCAACAATCAAGTTTACAGTTTCAACCCAAGTGCTCATTTTTAATGCACTCATGCCTAGCCGAACGAACAGGATCAACCAATTCCTGTTTTACCAATAAATTTTTTCGTGACACTGACTTGGAGTGCATACAATCACAACACAAATAAGCGAAATTTTGAGCATTTATTACAAAGCTTTCTTTATAAAATTAAAATCATTTATTTACTGGCGTCTCCCCCAAGTGCTAATAAGATAAGCCCAGCAGAGTAGTGCAACGAACCAGTATCAAATAACGAGGCTGAATGTCCCTTCGGGACTGCTTCATCAATTCGCCTTCAAACAAAAGGTGACGATTTGCTTCAAACACATTAAATCTTCCCTGCAAAACGATAAATTAAAGCTGACACTGATATTACTTTCAGATTCCAGAGCTCTTGGCGTGACTGAAATCCAGGCAACCATATCAATAACTTCAGCTACTAACTGTCACGAGTTAATTCCTGCCACTCCCGTCACGTTCGTTCCGGGGTTGTCCGAGTGATCATCTTTCGCCTCACAAACACCATTCACTGTGTTAACAAACGAAGCAGGGCATGCAGCCTTGCCGATTTCCTTTTCTGTTCACAACAATACCCTCCACGTTGTTCACCCAACTAGAAGGACGGAGGTACTTCAACCATGCTCCCTCTACAGCAGTCCGCGTTGTTGCTTTGCCTTTTTCAGTGACCCCCTCCTATATTCTTCGTTTCTTCGTATGCAGCAGCTTATCTGTCACACCACTGCATCGCCTACGCGTCGCATGTTGTCATGTCTACGCACTGTTTTCGATTCGCCGACTTTCAGACTTTTTTACGTTTTGGGATTAGCTCCTGATCCACTTTGCCCATTCCGTGAGCATTTTCCGCTAGAACCACGTCATTCGCAAAGGATAAAAAGACGATTCACCGCTAATGCTCGAAAAACTTAATTCATTTTCTAAAATATGAATTCTTTTTCATCATTTATTCCCACTCTTTTCATTCTTATCTCTGCATATACCCGCGTACTTTACAAGTGTTTGACCTTCACTTCACGTGCACTAGTTGACCAGCTGGCTGCTATTTCGAGTTAACAAATAAAGCCGAGTAAAATGTGACGCGATGTTGCAAGAGTATGAGGCTACGTTTCAAAACTATGTAAGCTGTGCCCGTTTTCAGATCGAGACAAGGTTATATTCAAACTGGCTTCTGTGCGGACCACCACAGTATGGAAACGAAAACACATCGTGCAGAAAGAACACCTCAAGCCGTCGATACAAATCAATTAGTCTTTTTTCCATATCTGCCAAACTGATCTGTCGATCAACCAAGTCCGACACTTTTGACAGCTCTACGAGCGCCTCTGGAAAAAGTTAATCGAAATCATTAGCGCTGAGGCATTCAGCGTTTCGTTTGCTGTTTAGCATTTACAATACGAATTCACTTAAACGTCACAGATTTCACTTCTAAACAGAATTAATTAATGAAATTTTTTGAGTGCTGTCTCACGTCACGAAAATCAGGATTTTTTTTTTTTACCAACAATGAAAAATTTTCCTCTTGCAAAAAAAAAAAAACCTTTGCATTCCTGCAACTCTTTACACTCGGGCAACAAGTACTTCTTGTACGCCT